GTGACAACAGGAGTGAAGTGAAACCTCACCTGTTCAAGCGCTGTGGATAAGAGCTGTAGCTCTAAGTGGACAGCTAAAGCTTCTCTTTTTTCCTAGCGCAGCAGTTAGATAGAAAGTTAGAAGAGGCAACAGGCATAAGGCCTACTGAGATCAGTGTAGCTTGTAAGGTATAAGTGGGGATTGAACCTTTAGCGCCAACTGAAGATGGAGACATGCTTCTCAAATAAGATACTACCTGGGGTGAAAGACACTGAATCCTCATGTGGATGGTGAGTCACTTTACAAGAGTGAGACACACATGGACAATACTTGGTTTTATGTTAACACTGTGATATCGACAAAAAATTTTTCACAAGCACATTAAACTGCAGAAACCCACAGCTCTGGGTTTTCTCAGGCAACAATCAATCTGTCTGCTTATCCATTGACCAGTACTGTGTTTCTATATGACTTGATGCTAGTAAATGGGGAGCAGCTGTGAGAAGATGCACAGATCTGTCTCTTATTTGAGGAGAAAGACATTTATTACTTTAGGGAAGTCTCAGTACTTTGAGGAGAATTATTCCGTGAAACTATGAATATGGGAATTATCTGCTGGTCTGTGACTCCCTTGTGAAACTAAAACACAATGATTCAGCTACTTGTGATAATTAATAAACAAAGACACTTTGCTTTCAGGACATTGCATGTACAAATTTGACTATAATGCAAGAATTCACTAATACGGGCCTTCAGCAAACACTCATGTTCCAAAAGCTTGACACATAGGACATCTTTTGTCATATAAATAGTGTCATAAATGATACTAATATCAGGAAACAAAAACCTATTTAATGCTTTACATGTCTAGAACCATGGGGAGCAGGGACCTTGGGGATCACTGCTTTAAGCTTGGGGAGATAGGGTTTTGTGGGAGATTCAGCCCCTGCATGTAGTCTCCAAAGTCAGGCCAGGAGTTCTTGACCTTTCTTTGCGTCCTTCTCTCAGGAATGCAGCACCTGCATATCCAGGGGCAGATGGTTGTAGGAACCACTTCAGCCAGGCCTTTTTCCATAACCATTGGCACAGCCACCTGCCCAGTGGCAGAGGGGAAGCAAGTGCTTATTCCCGGGCTTGAAGGATCCCAAGGTTTGGAAGGTTGACCATGAGGTTCAATGAAACCAAGATGACTTCAATTAAAAACATGGCCTCTAGGAATCCAGGTTTCTGGGCTGGCCCCAAGTTTTACAAGCTGGTTCTTCAGGTAGTTAAAATTCAGATGGCAGTGACCATCCTTGAATCATCATTGGGCCCCCAACACCAGCCAAAGTGAATCAACTGTAGGGACAAGTCTGCCTACAGCGAAGGGCTGACTCCCATCAAGAAACAGCATGTTTCTAAAATGGTTATTCTGCTGCTGGACAAGATTGTGAAGCCCTAATACCTACATGGGTTGTCATACCAAGGACACTGAACTGCCACTGATGTCCCTGTGTCTATGGGAATATGCACATTCCTCTGCTTTGGCTCCTGGAGAGAAGAACCTGTGAAGTCTGGATAAAACTCTCTCTGTGTAAGGGATCCTCATGGTCAGGCAGAGGCCATTAGCAGCCAGTTAGGCATTTGGATTTCTCCACTGCTTAGTCACAGATACTGCAGTGAGTGTTTGTGAACTGGGGACTCTGTGTGTTTTCCTGTTTGGTTACTGTCTTAGTCTGGTTTCCCCAGAAGCAGACCCTGAGACAGGGATTCGAGTGCATGGAGTTTATTTGGGAAGTGATCCCAGGAGCCAGTGGAGGAGGGGGTGGGGCAAGGCAGGGAAGAGAAGGCAGCCAGATCCAGCTGGTCCTCACTGCGGGTGCCCAGAGCCAAATCTGCTGGGGAACTCGGGGCATCAGTGGGTAGCACACACTCCGTGGGCCACCACCTCAGTGGAGGCAAAGGAGTGGAGTATTTACACTCTTCCCATCAGTCACTGGTTAGGGCTGCTCCTGGGGAGGGGAGTGTTATTCTCTCACTCCCGGCCTGCCTTCTGCACAGGAAGAGGAGCTCCTGCTGTGCCGGGAGCCCCCAGGCAGATGGACCTTGGGCCAGTGTGCAGTAGCACGGTAAAGAGATAAGGCAGGCACGAACAGCTTCTGGAACAGTTTCTTTAGCCCAGATCCACTCCCCGACCATGGCGTGTGTGTGTACATGTGTGAGCGCTGGACAAACTAGTTGTGGTCGGATTACAAGGGAAGTTATAGTTACTCTGATCCCGAAGATGGGAACCTGGGAGGTTCTGACGTGGTATTTTCCCCATTACATTCTTCAGAGCATGATGAAGCACCGAACGTGCTACAGACCTCTGGCTTGACACTGCACGTGTGGACGGGACATAGGCACTAAGCTGTTCCCCCAGTGCTAACACAGGGGCATTATTTCACGACAGTGAAGTTTCTTTTCCTTGAGGTTGTTAAAGGGGCTGTGAGGTTGTTAATATTTGCTGGGCTCTGGCTGTGTGCTACCTCTATGCTGCATAATTCAGTCCTCCCAGCTCTATAAGGGGGTATGATTATCCCCATTTTACAGACACGGCCAACATGTGTTTGTCCAATCAACAATGAAGACCTGGACTGGTTTTTAGGGATCGATATAAAAACAAGCCAGACTTGGGCTTGTCGACAGGCAAGTTCAAGGGCCGCAGGGCAGCTCCAGCTGCTGAGTAGAGAAAGGATTGGAGGGGCCAAGGAGGGCAGGTAGGGGGCGGGGTATAGGAAGCAGGCAAGAAATGGCCTTGGCTTAGAACCAAAGTCCAAAGTTTGCAAACTGCATGGATGTGTTTCACAGTCAGTCTAATCCTGAAGCCTATCTCTATACCCTTCTGCCTCTAAATAATCTTCCATAGATGAACGTATATTTCTGTTTTCCTTTCATCAGAGTAGCCGATGCCTGATGGAGAGAGATATATTGATTACCTCTTTTTGTTTGCTATCTGGGTTTTTACATACACAAGTGATATCTGGTTGACTATTTAATCCATTGATTCATGGTCGGCAGTGGGAAGGACTTAAACTTTGAGAAACTGACACATTTGGGAGTTTGAATAAAAGCAACTCCCCTAATTTCCTGCTCAGCGAGGGCACAGGGCAGGATGGGGGCAGGATGGAGGGCTTGGCCAAGCACCCAGGATTTTCCGCCTTTCCCTGTTCACATTCTGCCCAGAAGAGCACAGTACAGACGGATGGCTGTGCCTCCAGAAGGTGAGGCCTGCAGGCTGATGAGGGGCGTGTGTGCGTGGCTCATCCCAGCCTGGCGTGCTGCGGGTACAGCATGAGCTTTTGGTGCCTTGGGACCACCAGGCAGCAAAGCCAGTAGGATGTGGAGCCACTGTAAGAAATAATGTGATATTCTTCAGTTACCGTCTGGCTCTCAGCTCTAGCAGACGAATGTGATTGTAATGGGCCATCGGTTCAAGTAACAGAGAGGATCAGAGCCCATAACCATTGAAGAGGCAATGGGTCGGAGACCATATCCTGGGGAAGGGCTGCCCGTGAAGGCCAAGATCTGCTCTCCACCCACAGAAATGCTGGGGGAAAGAGATGTGCGCCATCCCTAGGCAAAGGACCCGGCAGGTTTATGAGTGAGGATTCAATGATTATGGAGGCCGGGTTGGGAATGAATGCAAGGCAGAGTCTGAGGTGTTGGAAGGTTCAGGGCCTCAGCCATGGAGGATGGTCCCTACTTCCCTTGGGGCCTGCTCTGGACCACCTGTGGTCATTCCTGGGTTGGCCAGGCTCCTGCACAGTACCCCAGCTTGGCTCTTGAGCAGATGAAGGGGACTCATTCACCATGCACGTGGGTTACCAGCAGCCTGTTAGCTTAGATAGCCTACTCTCAGAATAGGGAAAAAATTGATCCTAAGTACAAAGAAGTCTAGATGTTACCAGATAAGATCTTATCTGAGTTCCAGAAGAGGCAGCTTGTTGTAAAGGAAGGAGCCTGTGATTTGATGCCAAGCAGGTTTGTGATGCAGCCTCAGCTCTGAAACTTACTAGCTGTGGGCCTTGGGTAAGTAGCTTTGTGACTAGACTCAGTTTCCTCATCTGCAACATGGGTCTGTGTCTGCCTCAAAGGTTTTATATTAAATGAACTAACTAACATGTGCAAAGTGCCAGGCATGTAGGAGACATTGAACAAATGCTAGCTGCTTCCCCTTCCACTGGAGGCAGCAGGGATGTCCTGACCAGGGGGCCAAGTCTAGTGTGAACGTACTTGGTGGAGCTGTAGTGGGAACCCAGGCATGTGCTGGAGGACGGTGGGCAGAAAGGCTGGTATCCCTTTCTGCCAGTGGCAGGGTCTATTTTCTGTGCCTTCCACACAATGTCCCTTGGAACTCGATGGCCAGCTTGGGGGAAGGAAGGGAGGATGGTGGGACTGAAGATCAGGTGGTTGGAGCTTTGGGGACCCTCAGAGCAGCAGTCCTTTTATCTGTTTAAAGCACTGGGATTCCGTATAAGGTTTGTTTGAGAAAGGCTTCTGGCTAAGTCAAACAAGCCAAAATCTGAAAACTGCAGAGATAAATGATCCAGAAGGCCACTTTCCACACACTATATAAAGTATATAGACTTTATACTATGAAATGACGCGTCATCATTGGCTAAAAGAGGATTGGCTAGATGTTCTCAATCCACAGGAAACATTCCTTCCTGGGAGAGGGTGGGGCGGGAAATAACACAGCTCTTTACCAATGAGAGAGATCATGGGTACTACGTTATAGAGTCGAAATGTAAGGGCTGTTTTGATGAAGAATAGGAGATGAGAGGTCTTGGGAGACTTCCAAGGACACGCGGTGCTACTTTCCTGATTGAATAACAGCGTTAATCAAGCAGAGTTTTCTTGGGTTCTCCCAAGTGCATAGGGATGGGCATTTTAGAGAGTGCTCTTTGGGGTCCCAGCACATCTCTGCACAAATGCAGAACCTTCCCCCACACCCCAGCTGCAGAAACCAAGCCGTCTGCAGGTGGTTTCACAGAGCTTACCTTCTTCAGCTCTTCCTGGACACTCTGGCTGTTGTCTTCAGAGGACAGACTTTCCTTCTGGTTCTCAGACTCTGTCTTGGGCTCGGACTCCTGATCCTCCCCAGAGGAAGTTTCCTTCTCACTCATTTTCATTGCCAACTCGTACAGCCTGTTTGTCCGTTTCTCTTCTGCAGCGTCTGTGCCGGCCTGTGGGTGCCGAGCCTCATTGCAGGTGTCAGTCTTTGATAAATCACCAGACACCTAAATGAAAGCCAGAATCATGAGCTGAAGACTCTTCTGCTACAGTCATGTTGCTTGTTGTTCCCAATAATCCCTGAGTAAAGGACAATCAGGAAAATGAAGCTCTTACCTGATCTGCTTTCCCTATGGATGGACTTTTTATTTTTACTTCTTCAAACACATGCATCTTAACACTTTGTTAAAAATTAAGGCAGGTGAGCACCTGTACTCAGAAAAGTGACTTCAGTGTTTTTCATTTGCAAAATACTTACCGAGTGCCCACTAGGGTCAGCACTGTGCTGGTGCTGAGGATGCAAAGCTGAGGAAACCTCCGCCCGCCCCCTAGTGGAGAAGACACTAAAACCCTGACAAGTGCACAGAAGCAGTGCGTGGGGAGGGAGGCTTTGACAGCCCTCTAAGGGGCACCGGATGGCAGGGCTGGGACTCAGGGAAAGCTTGCTTGTGGAGATGGTGTTTGAGTGGAGATTCAAAGTGTAGCAGTTACCCAGCTAAAAGGGAGAAAGGAAAGAATGGTATTCTAGGCAAATCGCAGATTTTGAGATGGTGCAGGGTCCTTGCGCATACATAAGGAATACTGTGTGCCCTTCCCTTGATAATTACACAATTACATCTCCGGCTCCTACTATCTCCGAAGCTCTCTCTATGAGTAGAACCCTGACCAGGCCTGGGGAAGTTCAGGAAGACGTGACATTCTAACTCTCTATTTTTCACCTTATATTAGACAGATATGTATGGAATCTTAGCAAGATAACCCTTAAAGTACCATTAGGGTCCACTGGACCCAATATTAGTTTGTGGTTTTTTTTGAATTTTATTTTATTTTTTATACAGTAGGTTTTTTTTTTTTTAACATCTTTACTGGAGGATAATTGGTTTACAACGGTGTGTTAGTTTCTGCTTTATAACAAAGTGAATCAGCTATACATATACACATGTTCCCATATCTCCTCCCTCTTGCATCTCCCTCCCACTCTCCCTATCCCACCCCTCTAGGTGGGCACAAAGCACCGAGCTGATCTCCCTGTGCTTAAAGCAGGTTCTTATTAGTTATCTCTTTTATACATATTAGTGTATATATGTCAATCCCAACCTCCCAATTCATCTCACCCCCCACCCCTGGCTTTCCCCCCTTGGTGTCCATACATTTTTTTCTCTACATCTGTGTCCCTATTTCTGCCCTGTAAACCGGTTGACCTGTACCATTTTTCTAGATTCCACATATATGCGTTAATATACGATATTTGTTTTTCTCTTTCTGACTTACTTCACTCTGTATGACAGTCTCTGGGTCCATCCACATCTCTACAAATGACCCAATTTCGTCCCTTTTTACGGCTGAGTAATATTCCATTGTATATATGTACCACATCTTCTTTATCCATTCGTCTGTCAGGGGGCATTTAGGTTGCTTCCGTGTCCTGGCTATTGGAAATAGAGCTGCAATGAACATTGGAGTGCATGTGTCTTTTTGAATTATGGTTTTCTCAGGGTATATGCCCAGTAGTAGGATTGCTTGGTCATAAGGTAATTCTATTTTTAGTATTTTAAGGATCCTCCATACTGTTCTTCATAGTGGCTGTATCAATTTACATCCCCACAAACAGTGCAAGAGGGTTCCCTTTTCTCCACACCCTCTCCAGCATTTGTTGTTTGTAGATTTTCTGATGATGCCCATTCTAACCAGTGTGAGGTGATACCTCATTGTAGTTTTGATTTGCATTTCTCTAATAATTATTGATGTTGAGTAGATTTTCATGTGCCTCTTGGCCATCTGTATGTCTTCTTTGGAGAAATGTCTATGTAGGTCTTTTGCCCTTTTTTTGATTGTACTGCTTGTTGTTTTAATATTGAGCTGCATGAGCTGTTTATATATTTTGGAGATTAATCTTTTGTCCGTTGATTCGTTTGCAAATATTTTCTCCCACTCTGAGTGTTGTCTTTTTGTCTTGTTTATAGTTTCCTTTGCTGTGCAAAAGCTTGGAAGTTTCATTAGGTCCCATTTGTTTATTTTTGCTTCTATTTCCATTACTCCAGGAGGTGGGTCAAAAAAGGTCTTGCTGTAATTTATGTCAAAGAGTGTTCTTCCTATGTGTTCCTCTAAGAGTTTTATAGTGTCCGGTCTTACATTTAGGTCTTTAATCCACTTTGAGTTTACTTTTGTGTATGGTGTTAGGGAGTGTTCTAATTTCATTCTTTTACATGTACCTGTCCAGTTTTCCCAGCACCACTTATTGAAGAGACTGTCTTTTCCCCATTGTATATCCTTGCCTCCTTTGTCATAGATTAGTTGACCATAGGTGCGTGGGTTTATCTCTGGGCTTTCTATCCTCTTCCGTTGATCTATATTTTTGTTTTTGTGCCAGTACCATATTGTCTTGATTACTGTAGCTTTGTAGTATAGTCTGAAATCAGGGAGTCTGATTCCTCCAGCTCCATTTTTTTCCCTCAAGATTGTTTTGCCTATTCGGGGTCTTTTGTGTCTCCATACAAATTTAAAAATTTTTTGTTCTATTCTGTAAAAAATGCCATTGGTAATTTGATAGGGATTGCATTCAATCTGTAGATTGCTTTGGGTAATATAGTCATTTTCACAATATTGATTCTTCCAATCCAAGAACATGGTATATCTCTCCATCTGTTTGTTTCATCTTTGATTTCTTTCATCAGTGTCTTATAGCTTTCTGAGTAAGGTCTTTTACCTCCTTAGGTAGGTTTATTCCTAGGTATTTTATTCTTTTTGATGTGATGGTAAATGGGTTTGTTTCCCTACTTTCTCTTTCTGATCTTTCGTTGTTAGTGTATAGGGATGCAAGAGATTTCTGTGCATTAATTTTGTATCCTGCAACCTTACCAAATTCATTGATTAGTTCTAATAGTTTTCTGGTGGCATCTTTAGGATTTTCTATGTATAGTATCATGTCATCTGCAAACAGTGACAGTTTTACTTCTTCTTTTCCAATTTGTATTCCTTTTATTTCTTTTTCTTTTTTGATTGTCATGGCTGGGATGTCCAAAACTATATTGAATAATAGTGGAGAGAGTGGACATCCTTGTCTTGTTCCTGAAATGCTTTCAGTTTTTCACCATTGAGAATGATGTATCTGTGGGTTTGTCATATATGGCCTTTATTATGTTGAGGTAGTTTCCCTCTATGCCCACTTTCTGGAGAGTTTTTATCATAAATGGGTGTTGAATTTTTTTAAAAGCTTTTTCTGCATCTATTGAGATGATCATATGGCTTTTATTCTTTAATTTGTTAATTGATTTGCATATATTGAAGAATCGTTGCATCCCTGGGATAAATCCCACTTGATCATGGTGTATGATTCCTTTAATGTGTTGGATTCCTTTTGCTAGTATTTTGTTGAGGATTTTTGCATCTATATTCATCAGTGATATTGGTCTGTAATTTTCTTTTTTTTGTAGTATATTTGTCCGGTTTTGGTATCAGGGTGATGGTGGTCTTGTAGAATGAGTATGGGAGTGTTCCTTCCTCTGCAATTTTTTGGAAGAGTTTGAGAAGGATGGGTGTTAGCTCTTCTCTGAATGTTTGATAGAATTCACCTGTGAAGCCATCTGATCCTGGACTTTTGTTTGTTGGAAGATTTTTAATAAATTTCATTTCTTGTGATTGGTCCGTTCATATTTTCTGTTTCTTCCGGTTCAATCTTGGAAGGTTATACATTTCTAAGAATTTGTCCATTTCTTCCAGGTTGTCCATTTTATTGGCATAGAGTTGCTTGTGGTAGTCTCTAAGGATGTTTTGTATTTCTGTGGTGTCTGTTGTACTTCTCCTTTTTCATTTCTAATTTTATTGATTTGAGTCCTCTCCCTATTTTACTTGATGAGTCTGGCTAATGGTTTATCAATTTTGCTTATCTTCTAAAGATCCAGCTTTTAGTTTTATTGATCTTTGCTATTGTTTTCTTTGTTTCTATTTCATTTATTTCTGCTCTGATCTTTATGATTTCTTTCCTTCTACTAACTTTGGGTTTTGTTTGTTCTTCTTTCTCTAGTTCCTTTAGGTGTAAGGTTAGATTGTTTATTTGAGACTTTACTTGTTTCTTGAGGTAGGCTTGTATTGCTATAAACTTCCCTCTTAGAACGGCTTTTGCTGCATCCCATAGGATTAGGATCGTCGTGTTTCGTTGTCATTTGTCTCTAGGTATTTTTTGATTTCCTGTTTGATTTCTTCAGTGATCTCTTGGTTATTTAGTAATGTATTGTTTAGCCTCCATGTGTTTGTGTTTTTTACATTTTTTTCCCTGTAATTGATTTCTAATCTCATAGCGTTGTGGTCGGAAAAGATGCTTTATATGATTTCAATTTTCTTAAATTTACTGAGGCTTGATTTGTGACCCAAGATGTGATCTATCCTGGAGAATGTGTGCACTTGAGAAAAAAGGGTAATCTGCTGTTTTTGGATGGAACGTCCTATGAATATCAATTAAATCTATCTGGTCTATTGTGTCATTTAAAGCTTGTGTTTCCTTATTAATTTTCTGTCTGGATGATCTGTCCATTGATGTAAGTGAGGTGTTAAAGTCCCCGACTATTATTGTGTTACTGTCAATTTCTTCTTTTATAGCTGTTAGCATTTGCCTTATGTATTGAGGTGCTCCTATGTTGGGTGCATATATATTTA